AAAAAATCAGTGTATAATACTGAAAAACAATAGACATAATTTCTTACAATAATTTCACCTTTCAGGGGAAAAAATCCAAACTCTACGGAAGTATATTTTCTATTGCTTCTTCAGATATTTTACATAACATTTAAGCACAAATACCCTTTATCAAGTGTTTTCAGTGCCGGGCTCTGTGCTTACCCAAAGGTAAAAAAAAAAAAAAAAATCAGTTAATCTGCAGTCTTTCAGACCACAGAATAAATGGATTAAAAAATAATAAAACTGAGTGCAAATTCGGTAACCATATCAAACCTAGTGAAAAGAATGTGGTTCATCTTTTGGAAGAGTTGTCTAAAAATGACCCAATCAATTGCAATTTTCCTTTTTCTCTGCAATGATACACCAGTTGCCATGATCATTCCCAGAGCTCAGAATATGCAGCTCTGACACATTCTCCTTGAGCAAGCCATAGAGCTCACCTTCCCGAAACACGTGGTAGTAACGCATAAAGGCTCTGGAATCCAAAATGTCAGCCTGTTGTTCTTCAACAGAAATTGTGTCATCTGGGTTGGAATCTGTGGAATCGACTGCAGAAATCCTCCTCAGTATTCTACTAGCAGAAGGGCTTTCTCCTTCTAAGTACTTGCATCTACACCATTGTCATTGGTACTAGTGTGTATCCAGAAAGTCCCCCTCGTTTTTCCCAATTTCTCCCAGATGGTCTCCATTTAAATGCTTCATAGTGCCTGGTGCTCTTAGCCACTCCAAGTGTTTTCGAGAAGAAGTTTCACAAAACACTTCCTCATCCGAGTTTTGCTCCTTTTTTGAAAATGGCTCTTGGAGATCAAAGTCGGAGACTAGAGTGGCCTGGAAGGTTGGATCGTGATAGTGTGATCGGCCCAAACGTCTGTGTTTTCAAGGGTCTCCCCTTTCAGTTTGTCCCAGAGTGATTCATCCAAAGATCTGAAGAAAAACCAGGATCGAAAAGATTTCCTAATGTGTTATAGAATCCGTATTCTCCCTCGCTTTCTTTAGGAATATTTGCAAAACAGGTTCTGGCCGTGACAGGTTCATAGTCCACGCTGTGGGACCGTTTGGAATCACACTGCTCTTTGAAACACACCGCACAGCTACACTCAGAGCAGGGAGATGGTAGGGATGCTTCTTCGGGATTCCCACACCGCCTTTTTCTCCCAGACTGGCTGGATTCCGAGAAGAATCCGAACACAAGGCTCTGTTCCATGGAACGAGCACATCTTGCTTCTCAAAGTGACGATTCTTCTGTTCCATGGCCCAAACATAAATCATCAGCTGCCCTCCAGGAACCAAGACCTTGCCATTTCTTTGATGGCTCTGATTCTTCTTTGTTTTGTAGAAAATGATGTATGACTGAAAAAAGAAAACCAGATTCAACGTGTACACACATAACATACACATTTGTATACCAGTGTTTTCCATGTGACAATGATGACATTTTGAATAGCAAAACCTACTTATTTCCTCTGAGGATGGCAAAATACCTAGGCCAGTTTTAGGAGAGATATCATGTTGTCCTTTGTCTCCTGTACTTATTAGACAGCTGATCTTAGCAAGTATTTTATATTTAAAGTTATTTAATTCTATAGACTTTAAATTTCTTCATCTATAATAAGCAGTTTAGAACATATAAATCCATGAGTGCTCTTTCAGTTCCAAAATCCTACGAATTTTGTTAGCAGAAGGATGGCCAGTGTGAAGTATTATAATCTGAAAGCAATACTAAGTGTTCCCTGGTAAAATTCTATGAAATAGTTCATTGCTTTAATAATAATTGGCACTTTAAATGCGAGAAGGTTAACACCACTAATCAGTGTTAATAAAATTAACAAAGCACATGGAAGTAGAGAAAATGTTAAGATCATTTTTCTGTCTTGATAATGCAAAGACAAACCAGCCCAGCACAAGTCCAAACGATTGCTAAGAATTTTAAAATGTTAATATGATTTGAAATAGTGTCTCTTTTAAAAACCAATTATAGATCCTTGTTTTATTTCTAATACCTGCAAAGTCAAAGTGAGATTCAAGCAAGACTGACTTTATCTCGTTGTAAGTGTGTGATCAGCCGTATTTTTATTCAACAATATACAGAAAGTGCAGTCTACTAGTTCCTGGGGGAGTTTATCACGGTCTGTGTCAAGAGAGAACATCATTATTTCTCCATGCAAAGATCTGCCAACTTATCTCAGGGAGGAATTAGTCCCAGGGAAGTGGAGAGAAGCTTCCTCGATATGAGTAGTGAAGGCAGAGACAGAGGCTGAAACTGTCCCCTGTAATGGTCCCATAATCCAGCTGTTAGCGGTGATTTCAAGAATAATCTCTGTAGTTAGCCTGCCACAGAGACATATATCTCATAATATCTAAAATGAGATTCTTTTGCAGATAAAACTGTCAAAGAAAGTCATTCTACAGGCACACTTGTATTGCTAACATCAGGTTTTATTCCTACCAACAGCATGCAAACCTTGTATCTGTACCATGCCACAGGTGCGAGGGTAAAATGTGTTGACAACAGGTCCCCAGCAGGTTTTATTCTGCTAGATCTATCTATTTCACCCAGGAATATCAGAATCTTCTATATTATGTTTTAGTTATATTTAACATGTAATAAGTAACAACACTTCAAGCCAATACGTTTTTAAGAAAAAAAAGTTTACAAATGAAGATTTCTTCATTACATAGATATAGTATTAGACATGCATTACTTACAGTTCTGTTAAGAAACATTGCAAATATAACTTAAAATGGCATGTAGAGGTATAGTTATCTGAAATATCAATGTCCAGAAGCCATGTTGAATTTTTAAAAGATTGAAAAATGTCTCTTTTTGTTTAAAAATCATGATCACAACTTAAAGACAAAAACAGTGCTTAATATATGTATCCTATAGCAATATTTTCCTGCTAAGAGTCCAGAAAATAGGTAGGTTGAATTCAGTTTCTGGATTCCAGAATCAGATGGTAAGTTATGCAAGATCACCTTTACAGTCTTGCTATATCTTGATATTTTCTGATTTATTGTTATTTAACTTTTCAAGTATGTATGTCTCATCTAACTGTAAGTATTCAGAATTTGTGGGTTTAGCATAAAGCAGGGTTTTTCAACATCAGTAGTATTGGCATTTCGAGCTAGATAATTCTTTCTTGCGGGGCACCCACTGGATGACATTAGCACACATACAGGCAACCAGCTGTGACAACCAAAAATATCTTTGCACCTTAACAATGTATCTGTCCTCAGAGCTAAAATAGAACAGTGCTTCAACTAAATAGATGCAGTGACCACTCAAAGCCCAATCTATTGATTTCTCTATAAAGTGACAGAAATTCAACCTTTAATTAATAGAAGTTGATTCTGCCTAAATCCCTGACATAAATAAAATGTGGTCACCTTCAATAAAATAAATACTCAGATGTTATTTGTTAAAATCCAACAATAAATCTGAGTCATACCTCTACCAAGGCTAAATAAATATCCTGAAACTTAACAGTTTATTTGTCCTCAGAGCTAAAATAGAACAGTGCTTCAACTAGCTTCTCCTTTCCCAAATATCCCTTTGATTAAGAAGAAAAGCATGATTCTTGATGAAAACTCCTCATTAGTCAATCTTGGTCTTCTCCTACCTAGATATTATGCTTCTAATAAGGTTGGAAAAATACCACTTGGGTACTTACAACTCCTAGTATCCAAGTACTCCACTCCCTACATGGTAACAGTGCCTTTATCTCATTAACTGCCACGTGAGTTGCATTTAACTCACATTAGTTTTGAGCCCAGGGCCTCATGGAAGCACATGTAACTCACACGTCTCTTCACCTTGGGAGCTGCAAGAACTGTTTTTCAAGTTGCATGTAACTCATGCACAGAAAACAATAAAATAACAAATTTTTCATTATATTAGAAAGGATTATTTTGGTTTTGAACAGGATTTGCATTTTGAAGTTTTTATTCTATTTTCATAATAAAACACCATAGCGCCGAGGAAAAAATATTTTTTTTCTCTAGTGTTTCAGTCAATATGTTAAAATCCTGAGCAACACTGACAACCTTATTACTGTATTTCAACTTATCTTGGAGTGCATTTGCTTTTAATTTAGAAAAATCCTTCTAACACCTCTTGGTTCCCTCTACTGTCACTTACTTTTCTGAAAGGCTTTAAGTAGAAGCAAGATCTTAGCAACAAAATAATCACAGGGTTCAATACATATCCGTGCAATAGACCAGGTTTACCTGTTATCTTGTACACAGATCTAAATTATAACCTGAGAATCAGTTTTTCAAGGTATATTTAACAGAAGAATCTTTTAAAAAATCAGCGTATAATACTGAAAAACAATAGACATATATTCTTACAATAGACATATTCTTACAATAATTTCACCTTTCAGGGGGAAAAAATCCAAACTCTACGGAAGTATATTTTCTATTGCTTCTTCAGATATTTTACATTAACATTTAAGCACAAATACCCTTTATCAAGTGTTTTCAGTGCCGGGCTCTGTGCTTACTCAAAGGTAAAAAAAAAATAAAAAAATCAGTTAATCTACAGTCTTTCCAGACCACAGAATAAATGAATTAAAAAATAATAAAACTGAGTGCAAATTCTGGTAACCATATCAAATCTAGTGAAAAGAATGTGGTTCATCTTTTGGAAGAGTTGTCTAAAAATGACCCAATCAATTGCAATTTTCCTTTTTCTCTGCAATGATACACCAGTTGCCATGATCATTCCCAGAGCTCAGAATATGCAGCTCTGACACATTCTCCTTGAGCAAGCCATAGAGCTCACCTTCCCGAAACACGTGGTAGTAACGCATAAAGGCTCTGGAATCCATAATGTCAGCCTGTTGTTCTTCAACAGAAATTGTGTCATCTGGGTTGGAATCTGTGGAATCGATTGCAGAAATCCTCCTCAGTATTCTACTAGCAGAAGGGCTTTCTCCTTCTAAGTTACTTGCATCTACACCATTGTCATTGGTACTAGTGTTATCCAGAAAAGTCCCCCCTCCGTTTTTCCCAATTTCTCCCAGATGGTCTCCATTTAAATGCTTCATAGTGCCTGGTGCTCTTAGCCACTCCAAGTGTTTTCGAGAAGAAGTTTCCACAAACACTTCCTCATCCGAGTTTTGCTCCTTTTTTGAAAATGGCTCTTGGAGATCAAAGTCTAGACTAGAGTGCCTGGAAGGTTGGATCGTGATAGTGTGATCGGCCCAAACGTCTGTGTTTTTCAAGGGTCTCCCTCTTTCAGTTTGTTTCCCCAGAGTTGATTCATCCAAAGATCTGAAAAAAAACCAGGATCGAAAAGATTTTCCTAATGTGTTATAGAATCCGTATTCTCCCTCGCTTTCTTTAGGAATATTTGCAAAACAGGTTCTGGCCGTGACAGGTTCATAGTCCACACTGTGGGACCGTTTGGAATCACAGTGCTCTTTGAAACAAACCGCACAGCTACACTCAGAGCAGGGAGGATGGTAGGGATGGCTTCTCTCGGGATTCCCACACCGCCTTTTTCTCCCAGACTGGCTGGATTCCGAGAAGAATCCAGAACACAAGGCTCTGTTCCATGGAACAAGCACATCTTGCTTCTCAAAGTGACGATTCTTCTGTTCCATGGCCCAAACATAAATCATCAGCTGCCCTCCAGGAACCAAGACTCTGGCCATTTCTTTGATGGCTCTGATTCTTCTTTGTTTTGTAGAAAAATGATGTATGACTGAAAAAGAAGAAACCAGATCTCAACGTGTATACACACACATAAACATACACATTTGTATACCAGTGTTTTCCATGTGACAATGATGACATTTTGACATATAGCAAAACCTACTTATTTCCTCTGATGGATGGCAAAATACCGTAGGCCAGTTTTAGGAGAGATATCATGTTTGTCTTTGTCTCCTGTACTTATTAGACAGCTGATCTTAGGCAAGTTATTTATATTATTTAAAGTTATTTAATTCTATAGACTTTAAATTTCTTCATCTATAATAAGCAGTTTAGAATATATAAATCCATGAGTGCTCTTTCAGTTCCAAAATCCTACGAATTTTGTTAGCCAGAAGGATGGCCAGTGTGAAGTATTATAATCTGAAAGCAATACTAAGTGTTCCCTGGTAAAATTCTATGAAATAGTTCATTGCTTTAATAAATAATTGGCACTTCTAAAGAGAGGAAGGATTAACACCACTAATCAGTGTTAATAAAATTAACAAAGCACATGGAAGTAGAGAAAATTGTTAAAGATCATTTTTCTGTCTTGATAATGCAAAGACAAACCAGCCCAGCACAAGTCCAAACGATTGCTAAGAATTTTTTAAAATGTTAATATGATTTAAAATAGTTGTCTCTTTTAAAAAACCAATTTACAGATCCTTGTTTTATTTCTAATACCTGCAAAGTCAAAGTGAGATTCAAGCAAGACTGACTTTATCTCGTTGTAAGTGTGTGATCAGCCGCATTTTTATTCAACAATATACAGAAAGTGCTAGTCTACTAGTTCCTGGGGGAGTTTAATCACGGTTTTGTGTCAAGAGAAAACATCAAATTATTTCTCCATGCAAAGATCTGCCACATTATCTCAGGGAGGAAATTAGTCCCAGGGAAAGTGGAGAGAAGCTTCCTCTGATATGAGTAGTGAAGGCAGAGACAGAGGCTGAAACTGTCCCCTGTAATGGTCCCATAATCCAGCTGTTAGCGGTGATTTCAAGAAAATTAATCTCTGTAGTTAGCCTGCCACAGAGACATATTATTCATAAATATCTAAAATGAGATTCTTTTGCAGATAAAACTGTCAAAGAAAGATCATTCTACAGGCACACATTGTATTGCTAACGATCAGGTTTTTATTCCTACCAACAGCATGCAAACCTTGGTATCTGTACCATGCCACAGGTGCGAGGGTAAAATGTGTTTGATCAACAGGTCCCCAGCAGGTTTTATTCTGCTAGATCTATCTATTTTCACCCAGGAAATATCAGAATCTTCTATATTATGTTTTATATTTATATTTAACATGTAATAAGTAACAACCTTCAAGCCAAACGTTTTTAAGAAAAAAAAGTTTACAAATGAAGATTTCTTCATTACATAGAATACGTATTAGACATGCATTACTTACATGTTCTGTTAAGAAACATTGCAAATATAACTAAAATGGCATGTAGAGATATAGTTATCTGAAATATCAATGTCCAGAAGCCATGTTGAATTTTTAAAAGATTGAAAAAAATGTTCTTTGTTTTAAAAAAAATATTGGATTCATCAACTAAAGACAAAAACAGTGGCTTAAATATATGTATCCTATAGCAAATATTTTCCTGCTAAAGAAGTCCAGAGAAATAGGTAAATGTTGAATTCAGTTCTGGATTCAGAATCAGATGGTAAAGTTATGCAAATCACCTTTACAGTTTCTTGCTAATATTCTTGATATTTCTGATTTATTTTATTTATACTTTTCAAAGATATGTATGTTCTCATCTAACTGTAAGTATTCAGAAATTTGGGTGGTTATAGCATTAAAAAGCAGGGTTTTTCAAAAACATCATAGTAAATTGGCATTTTGAGCTAGATAATTTTCTTCGGGGCACCATGGATGGGACAATTAGCACAACTACAGGCGAACCAGCTGTGACAACCAAAAAAAAAATGTCTCCAAGACAATTTACCAAAATGTCCCTTGGGGCAAGGGAGGGAAAAGAGGAGCACATAACCCCTCAGGGTGAGAAAACACTAGCAAAAAGGCATTCATTATTAAATTTGACACCCATTTTAATATGGCTTGCCCAAAATATTCCTAGAAAATTTTTGGTTTCAAGACATTTTTCTACAGGGTTAAAGTTTAGAAAGAGGTGTTTCTTTCCTAAATCTTGTTCAATTTAAAAACATTTAAATGAATGTTCATTAAAAAAACTTGTGATGCTTATTCCTACAGTGTTTACTAGACGATAAATGGGAAAAAGCAAACTTATAAGTCATATGTGTGGTGGAATATACATTATTATTCTTTCCTGTTTAAAAAACAAAGTGCCAAACACAAATTTTTTTTTTTTTTTTTTTTTGACCCTCAGAAAGTTCTTCACTTTGTTTGCCAGGCTAGAGTTGCTGGTGGGCATGAACCTATCTCACGGAAAACCCTCCAAAAAAACTTTTCTGGGCTCAAGGTCATCCCTACTGCCTCAGCCCTCCCGAGTAAAGCTGGGGAACTACAGGCATTGCCACCACCATTGCCCAAGTAATTTTTTCTGTATATTTTTAGTTGGCCAATGTTTAATTTTTCTTTCTTTTTTTTAAGTAATGAAGGATGGGAATTTTCTTGGCTTCTTTGTCAGGGCTTGGTTTTCAAAACTTCCTTGAGCCTTTAGCCAATCCTCCTGCCTCGCTCCCGGAAGTGCTAGGGATTACAAAGCATGAGCCCACGTTTGTCCGGCAAACTATTTTAAAATTTTTAATTCTTTTTTTTTATTTCAGCATATTATGGTACATTTAAGGTCTCCAAAAAATAGATTGCCGTTTCCCTTCCCCCACAAGTTTTTTCTGGTTTCCAAAGCATTTTTGGACCATTTCCCCAAGATGGTTTGCAACCATCCTCAAACTTCATGTATTGTATGTGTCATACCTGCCCCTCCCCCTCCACCTATGCTAAATACCTATTACTGGTTCCTATTTGTTGTCCATTTAAGGTTGGGATCAGTTAATTTACCAGGTTTTGCTGGTTTGAGTTTATGTGTGCTTTTTTCCATTTCCTTGGATACTTCAACTTTATTAGTATGGCGTTCCAGCTCATAACCAGGAAAAATACTAATATGTGCTATATGCAGCCATTGTTCTTAAAGCTGAATAAAGTACTTCCATGTATTACACTATACCCACATTTTATTAACACACTCTTGGATTGATGGGACTTGGGCTGTTTCCCACAGCCTTGCAATCGATGAATTTGTTTTGCTGCTATAACATTCGGTTCATAGGTTTTTTTTGGTAGGTGTCATTGGATCTTTGGTAGATGCCAGTAATGGATTGTGGATCAAAAATGGGTAATCCACTTATATTGCTTTAAAGGTTATCTCCTATACTTGCTCCACAGAGTTGAACTAGTTTGCAGTCCCACCAGGCAGTGTAGGGAAGTTTTTCGCCTTATCTCTCTCGCGCTCCACGCCAGCAGTTTATTTTGTTTGGGAACTTTTCTGATTAAAGGCATTTCTCAACTGGAGTTAAGTTGATATTTCTCATTGTGTTTTGATTGGATTTTCCCTAATGTTAGAAGATGTTTGAGCCATTTTTTCATTAAATATTAAAATTTAATAGGGAAATAAAAATATTATGGACATAGAGAATAGTTGTATTGAAAATTTCTCATACTAATAAGTTTCTAATTGTGAAAAGTCTATCTGAAAACAACACGTCAATTTAAAAATTCATTGTACAACATAAAAAACACATGCTGTTTTTCCACTTTAAGGAGAAGTATTTTAATTAGAAGATGCTAACCAGGTGTGCTCCATTTTCTTTGAGGGCCACGCCTGAGATGTAAACTGAAAAAGACAGGGACTTAACCAGTACACAGAAGCAATTATCCCAAAGGTAGAAGGGGTGGTCAGCATCCCCTACTCCCAAAACAACGTTGCATGGCTGGATGTAGGTTAGCCTGCAGGTACCTGAAACTAATTGTAAAACAAAGAAAGAGCAAGGGTTACACAACTTTCTTCTGAACCTCTCTTCCCACTTCTAGTTCTTTAGTCGGAATAACCAAACCAAACCTTTTTTCCACTAAAGATTCAAAGCATTGTATCATGTTGCTTAGTTCAACAAGAATATCTCCTTGTCATGGACTGAGTGTTTGTGTTCCCTCAAGATTCGTATATCATAGCCCTAACCCCCCAGTGTGAGGGTATTAGGAGGTGGGGACTTTGGGAGGTTTAGATGAGGTCATGAGGGTGGGGCCCCCATGGTGGGATTAGTGGCCTTATAAGAAGAGACCAGAAAGCTTGCTCTTTCTCTCTCTCTCTCTCTCCTTCTTAACCCTACCCCCATACCTCTTTCATGTAAAGATATGGCAAGAAGTCAACCATCTGCAATCCAGGAAGAGGGCCCCCCCACCAGAACCTGACCCTGCTGGTACCATAATTTCAGAATCCGGTTGCCAGAACTGGGAGAAATAAATGTCTGTCATTTAAGCCACCCAGTCTATGATATTTTGCTATAGCAGCCCAAGCAGACTAAGACAATCCTCTTAATACTGACAACCGAAATGGACCTAGTAATTTCATACAGCAGGTTTCCATGGCAACCATCTTTTGCCAATTTTAACTACTTCCAAGGTTATGGCATCCAGGCCTGCATCCTCTCAGTGTGCAAAGATAAAGTCCCCATCTAATCTTGAATAAATCGATCTCTCATCTATTTCAGGAAAGGGCAAACAATCTTATTCTATATTTTTGTCATGAACAGCAGTTAGCTTTACATAAGATCATCTTGCTTTGATGAAGCTTGCTATATTCAAATAGATCAGTTTTTTTTTAAGTGTACTGATGCCAGTAATTTGCTTTGGGAAAGATTTTGCCATTGCAGAATAACTTGCCATAGGGTTCAGTTAAATATCAAGTTTCCTAGCATATTTAAATATGGAATATACTAGATCAGGAATACATACATTAGGTAAAATGAGCCTTACTGGTATATAATTCAGAAAGAGATTTTTTTCTTTTTTTGTTTTTTTTTTTCTTTTTTGGCATGTGTGTTTTCTGGGCATACTTGTTGGAAGAATATGAGGAAAACATTCCTTAGACTCATGAACAATCTCTGGCAGCGAGACAGCAGAATGGCACTATAAAAACAATGCAATATGGCACCACGTGGGACCCATCTTCTCCAGGAACTTAAGTACCAATGAGTGGCAGATTGGTCCAGGTGACATTCAGTGTTAGTCCTAGAACTCTCAGTTAATAAAGGGTACTATTTTGGCCTGAAAAAGGCAATATAAATCCTAAAGATCTACTTTGCTTTGGAAGAATCTGGCTTTATTTCAATATGATGAAGTACTATTTTCAATGAATACGATTCCTCTGATACTTTCTTACTCATATGTAAAAGAAATTGGAATGAATCATCTAAAAGAATATAATAAGAGTTTAAAGGTTTAAGTAGTTAAAAAAAATCATATGTACCATAAGTGCATTTGAGATCAGTCAAATCATTCAAGTAGTTGAAATATTTTTTTTTTAAGCGAGATAAAATGAATCACATAAACCTTTCTGCACAGAATGGATGTTGAGTCACGAGAGTGGCCTCAACCATGTAAATTATTGTCATGGCAAAGGGTGAACGTGTGATCTGGCTGCCTTACCTCCTATGGAGATGATGGCATCGAAGCCCTGATCCCTAAAGGGGAGATTAAGGTTGTCACATACCATGACTTCACATCCTCTCTCCCGGGCAATCTCTATCAATGGCTCACAGTAGTCACAGCCCAGGGTATGTACCTGGCTGTTCACTTTAAGATACTTTCCAATCCCACAACCTGTAAGAGGAAAACCTGTGTTAAATGGCACCCTTAATGGAAAGTGGAAAATAATTCATTTGCCTTATAACAAGAAACATAAGTCATTTTATATTAACTAATCAAGATAGAATACGACATGAGTGAAGGTATCCACAAAAGCAAAAGAAAAGCCTTTAGACAGTAGTCACATATTTTCACACAGAATGGAAGAGGGAAAGGGAATATTAATGAGGAAATGCCCATAGGGCTCAGCACACTAGCACAAACAAGACATGTTGGCTGGCCCATGGCAGGGGACGATAGTTCTACATCCCAGGGACAGACAGTGTGCAGTCACTTTACCTTCAAATACCTATTTCATTATGTATATAGGTATGTTATGGCATTTATCCTCCTGTTGTCTCTCCAAAGATTCTTACCACTGGCTGACTTTGTAAAACAAACTATCGTCAACAACTTTTCAATGGCTATAAAAGTAATTTATACAACAAAATATACTTTTCAAATATTTAAAATTTGAAGTTGAATAAGAAAAGAATTTTAAACATGTGTTTATCCAATCTATTGTCATTGATGGGTTAAAAACGATCTCTATGAACTCGGCATACAACACTGACAAAGAACTATTTTTCTCTTAAATGGACAATTTTTGACATTTAGCTTCCAGAGGCAGAGATCCAAATATTAATAATTCAGGATTTTCACAGCCCAAAGATTTAGATCAATCAGACCTAACTGATATTATGAAGAACAAGATAAAATAACATGATTGAATAACCATCCTGAAACAAAGCCTTCTACAATCTAGTACCTAGTATGATATTCTATCACAGACATGTAAGCTAATTCCTTTCCAGAAATATTTAAAGAAATCATTAGAGCTGATATGTCTACCTACTGACATTACTTATAGATTTTTCTGCCTGAAAAAAAGATCTACCACGATTTAAAGATGATTCGTTTGCTGCTTCTGAAATATATCATAACACCCCTTAATAAATCCTCCTTAATAGGCACTTTTCAAAATTATGAGACAATAAAAGCAAAATTAAAGTTCATTGACGCCAGCTGAGACAGCAGAGAGCATATGAATAAAAAATAAGATTTCCAATGTTATCATTTCAATAGAAATGATTGGAGTCTGAGAAGGATTTTTGATCTCATAGCCACTGTTTGTAATAATGCTTATGAGGAAAAGGATCCACTATTGGAGGAGAGTGATGGGGAAAAATATAATTCAAAAGTACTTTAAAATTGAACTCCTGTAGATTTCAAAGATGATGGTCCTATTTTAAGAAAGCTAACCTTGCAAATTAGTTTGCTTTTTTATTGGCTTAAGGCATACACTAGGAGGAATGAAAGGGAAAATTACTTTGAAGATACTAATAAAAACAGATTCATCGACCATGAGAGCTAGGAGGAACGGTTCAGAGAGCATTTGGTAATTAACAGGAAACTGAGGTCTTTTCAAATTTAAACAGCTCCTGAAACAGACTCTATTTGTCCCATAGTAATTTCTAATGGCGTTCATTTTTAAAGGTAGTAGTGGAACTCCCAAATATGATGCAATTATGCATTTTCTAAGTGCAAACACTGAGATGCCAGAGAGAAGAAGATTTTATCCTAAGAAGGAAATCAAGAATATTGCCAAGCCTAGTGGACCCATTATCTTACACGTAAATCAGAGCATTAACGATACCATAGCAAGCTCCAATACACAACCATGCTCCTTTCCAAAATCTCATTAAGTGATGACCTTGTATACTACTGCAGAGAGATAACAAAATGCATGCATACATTCCCCTTGATTTTGTATTGTGCACCACACTATAAGTAAAGAAGAAAACAGATAATTGCCTCAATTCAACAAAATGTTTTGGTCCATGGTGGGCAAATAGTTGCTGAAAATAACTGAATTAATCTGAATGTTCTTTCTGAAGTTTGCAAAAAAAAACCCAAAAAACTGCATTTTAAAAATTAGGAGTTCTTTCCTAAGACCTTATCTGAAAGAGAATTCTCTTTTCCTAGGGGAAAAAAGAAGAATATAGTTTATTTGTTTCCCATTTTATATACACTTCTTTAGGCCAGAGGTGAGGCGATATGTTTTATTCTTTGGGCAAGGTGTAGTAGTTGCCACATAGCAGGTGTTCTAAATGTTCATTGCCTCAATGAAGGAATGGGAATGATTTAGTCAATTAAATCTGACCATTGAGAATAAGAATAAATACACTGAAAGTTAAGAGGCAAGTGAAACCTTAATTATTGAAGAGTTAATTTTTGGTATGCATACAAAAATAAAATTTTCAGTACTATTAGGATAGCTGTCTCTGATGTCAGGTAACAAGGAAATCTTGCTCAAAAAGAATCCAGCTCTGGTCTTTCTCCTACTTTCTGAACTGATCCAAGCAAAGATTTCAAACCACAGAATGCTCTCTACCATATACACCATCTAATGGACTAAAGTTGACCAAACCCATTTCTGGTAAAGGTAATGCCATAATTGCACAGGTCATGGTATTTGCTGAGAGCACGTTGGCATTTCTGCTGTCTTTGAATCACTGAAGTTCTTTTTATTCTATTTGTTCAGAAGCCATTATCACACACTTCATCAAATCAGCTTGATTGGGGAATGGAGTGATGTGGTTAACAAAATTTTACTTAACTAAAAAGTTTCACCACTAAAATAGTGAAACTGCCCAGAGAATTCCTATCTGGGCACCTAGAACCTGATTGCCTCTGGATGTTTTTTTAATGTAATGTTTTATTAGCAATTAATTATAAATTGCTAATCTAATAACCAGTCAGATTAACATGCCTAACAAAGAGTGGATGCTTTTAGCTAAGCAGAAAACCTAGAAACAAAAAACATTTCCTTTTGGAGATAATCATATTAGCACGCTGTCTTTTCTTCTTCTCATCCCTTTGGACTTTTTCCTTTCCTTTCCACTTATTTCTTCTTTAATTTCAATTTCATTTTACAATTTATCTTTCATCTTATAATCCAAATATGACATTCATTTATTGAATAGTAAAAAAATGTAAATATATAAAATTCAAAAGATGCAAATGGGAAAAAAGATACTTACTACAGATGTAATTGTTGATTTGCACAGGGGTATTTAAATAATATTATTTGTACCATAATTTATAGTAGCAAAATGCAACAAATGGCCCATATGATCTGTTAACATGGCATGATCAGCACATAATTTTAGGCAGCTTTCAATACTAAGCAGCTCTATAAGCACAAATATGGAATGATCTCCACAATATGTTAAAAGAAACAAAAGCTAAGTGTGTAATTGTTTTTACAGCATAATACCATTTGTGTAATCAAAAAAGGAAAATCCACCCATACACATACCCACAGGCACACATATGCTTATATTCACATCAAACATCTCAAGAAGATCACATAAGAAGCTAATGGCATCAGCTGCCTCTGGTATAAGTTACTTGGTGTCAGGAGACAGGGAAGGAAGGATATTTTGCATTGTACATCTTTGTTATTGAACCATGTAAGTAGATTACCTATCAAACTGTTTTTATGCAATTTGTATTCCACCCCTTTTTTGAACTATATGTTCACACATCCTTTCACTATTTTTCTTTTGGATTGTGGGTATTTTTCTTTTGAATTTATTCCTCCTATATACCACCGTGTTTCCCCCAAAATAAGACCTACCCCTAAAATAAGCCCTAGCAGGATTTCAAAGCATTAGCGTAATAGAAGCCCTACCCCCAAAATAAGACCCAGTGATGGACGTGGCTACGCAGCACATCTGCACAACCTGTACATTTCGCCCAGGAACCGTAAAGAAGACGAGCAGCCCTTCTCACCTGCCCCATGAGAGCTCTGTTGCTCGACATGAGAGATTGGGGGCCAATCGTTCTAAAGGAAATAGAGTTGCAAGAAATTCAGGATGGAATTCGGGTTTGGGAGAGTTATGGTGATGTTCCAGAAGAAGGCAACTTAACTCTATTTGAATAAATGTAGATTGTTGTAACCGTACTTAAAAAAAAATAACACATCCCCTGAAAATAAGCCCTAGGGTGTCTTCTTGAGGAAAAATAAATATAAGACCCTGTCTTATTTTCGGGGAAACACGGTAACTGAACCTTTGGACAGTTTAACCAGTGTCTTGCCATTCCCTGTGCAGGGGACGTTTCACGCTGTGTGGCACAATGCAGGGTTACCTATGTCGGCGATGAGGCTGCCTGGCTTCTGCTCCTGCAGGAACTGGCGGACGCGGGGCCAGGCCTTGCTCTGCAGGTCGCTGAAGTAAGGGGCCGTGCTCTCGTACACATCGTGCACGTGTTGCTTCTCCAGCTGGGCGGCTGCATGATCCATCCTGGAGAAAACAGGGCCAAGCCAAGGAACGCGGGTCAGTGCATGTCCCAAAGGTACCTAAAAGAGGATGCAGATTGCCTAAATTTGGAGCCCTACATCTGCAAAAGTAGTGCTGTTCTTACACTTTCTTACAGTGTCAGCTGATCTTATAATACTCAATGAGCCATGGTTTCTCAGAGGTGACACAGTCCCTCTCATCCAAGGGCCCGAACAGATGCTGTGCTTTACCTGGCTATTGTACAGTCATTCTTGGCACAGGCATCACCTCCTCCAGGAAGCCTTCCCTGACTTTCCGTGGAGCATAAGGCAATAGGAAAAGAGTGGGAAAGTTACTAGCGAAGTTCCTGGAAGCTCTTGCTGTTTTGGGCTTCTTGTATTTAGATATTTGCACTGGCTATAAGACCCTAGGGAACAGGGTTCTTATTTAAGGCTGACTCCCCAGCACTTGGGACACAGCAAACCTTCAACACATGAGCAGACAAACAAACAAACATAACCAGAATGGACTCTAACTCTGAGTACAGAGGGTAGCGCTGGCTTTGGTTAGCAGGAGTGGTTGTTTTCACCTTTGGGAGTGTGGGAAGGGAGGGGACACTCTACCTGCAAGCTTGCAGATGGGAGTGTGACTGATTTACCCAATAATCCAAAGTGTAAATAAAGATGCATTATGCCAGCAACAGCTTCCAATTAGGACAACTATAATAATATATGAGGATTACTGATCTTGGTAAACAGATGGGAACAGTGTGAAGTCACTGTCCCCGGACAGCATCTGTCCTTCCACCCCCAGCCCCACCCTGGGAAGTAGGAAGCCCCTGGCTAAGATGGTGCCTTCAAAGTGACTTCACTATAAAGCAACTTCTTCTTCTTTTGCATTTAAGAAATATCATGTGGAGAGATACTTTGAGACTGTAAGAAATATCCTGTTTCTTATGTGCTCACGCACAAGTTTTAGCATCCCTAATGATTTTGGCTTCAAACAATTATTACTACAGTTATCACCAAAGGATGATATTCTAATTCCATCATTCTTTCCACTGCAAGGAAGAGCTGTCCAGGATTTACTCTAGAAAATGCAATAGGTTGTCCTTAATCACTATAGACCTGCCACAGCCCCCGCAAAAAAAAAAAAAAAAATCCTAGCGAACTCCTAACAGAGTAAAAATCTAATTTGTGAGGTCTGACAAAACTTCCACCCAAATTGAAACAGCTTATATTGCACCCTCAACTGGAATTTACAAAGTAAACATATGGCTGGCTGTAACTGCCCACACAAGAGGAAAAACTGAAATGCTAAGTGCTTTCCTTTTATCAAAATCTCAGTAGATTTAAGTCTATTTAGCTTTTTGCCCCTCAAGGAATCAATCAGGCAGTATAATTTAGAGAGCACTAGAACAAATAAATTTTATTGCACCTGCAAATGTTAAGTGGCCACTGACAGTTCCTTCCAAATTGGGTTAAAAACCAGTTCCAATTTCAACCTCAGCATTTGTAGTATCTGAAGAGCACCCCTTGGATTCCCTTTATGTAAGTTCTTCCTCAAATTACCTGGGCTCTACCATAAGTAAGTAACCTTAAAGATAGCTATTTTTAAGTGCGTAAGCAATATGAATCAATTTCCTTTTTCTGGTATTTTACAGTTAAGTGTAAATGCTACAAAATACATAGCTGACTGTGAAAACTGATTTGTAGACTTGGGGCTACCTAACACGACATTTTTGAAACTCTATGCCAAGATTATGAAGTGACCAGAGTAGACTAGTGTCCATTTGCTCTCATTAAAGATGCCATTTCAGGCAAGGCAGCAGATGAGTAACTCATCCATTTGAGTAGAGAAAGGAAACTCATTTTGCCTATCTTAGATTTGTGAGCTTATTAGACATTGAATAAATAGCTCTACCCAATAATTCAAAGTGTAAATAAGGATACATTATGCCAGCAACAGCCTCCAAGTAGGACAACTGTAGTGATATATGAGGATTACTGATCTCAGTAAACAGATGGGAACAAAAATTGTGTAAAGCAGCAGTCCCCAAACTTTTTGGCACCAGGGACTGGTTTCATGGAAGACATTTTTTGCACGGACTGGGGATGGGGGGTGTCACAGGAGGGGTGTAGTGCAGAGCTCAGGCGGTGATGCGAGGCCATTTCCTAACAGACCATGGACCAGTAATGGGCCATGACCTTGGCTTTGGGGACTGCAGGTAAAGGATCCAGGAAGGATGCTACATGATCCTCAGTTTGCAATAGCTTGAGATTGCTATTCTAACTTACTTTCACTCTCTCATTACCTTACTGCTTTATTGTTATGGTTCCTCATTAAGACAATTCTCAACTACTTCAGTGCCTTATTAGAAATGTTTGCATAAACTGGAATTTTCTAATTTATTACTTCTGTGTTGATCAGCTGCAATGGTTAGCCAGTTGTTTACGTGGCTCTCCTTCTGGTACTTACTGGAAAAACATGCTGAGTTTATCAGAGAATAAAATCTCTCTGAACAATTTTACAATATTTATAAGCCTTAGAACCTAAGGTAACAACAATTGAGAGCCTAATTGAAATTTGGACAGTTAATCTCCTGAAATACACATACCTACTATTAATAGAGGAAACAACTGTTCCCCAGAAAACAAAACCGAGGAGCCAATAATGCATACCAATAAAGTTTTTATAAAAAGCAAAAAAAAAAAAAAGTAGCAAAATGGAATGACACAGAAAAGAGGAAGGAACTAGAGGAAGAGAAAAGGAGAAATGAACAGACACTGAGTGGTTATCATGTGCACCATATACATTAATACACAGGAAGCAAAAGATGAGGAGTGAGAAAATAGGCAAAGATTTAAAAACTATGACTTAGGGCTAGGTGCAGTGGCTCACACCTGGAATCCTAGCACTTAGGGAAGCCAAGGCAGGAGGATCGCTTGAGGTCAGGAGTTCAAGACCAGCCTGAGCAAGAGCGAGACGCATATCTACTAAAAAAATAGGAAAATTAGCCAGGGATCATGGTACGCACCTGTCGTCCCAGCTACTTGGCAGGCTGAGGTAGGAGGATTGCTGGAGTCCAGGAGTTTGAGGTTACAGTGAGCTATGGTAGTGTAACTGCATTGCAGCCTGGGTGACAGAGTGAGATCCTGTCTCTAAAAAAAAACAAAACAAAACAAAAAAAAAAAAAAAAAAAAAAAAACCCCCAACTGGAAACAAAAAAAAGAATTGAAAAAAATTTTTTCCTAAAAAAAAAAATGCAACTGCAAAAAAGAACAAATCAAAGAACCCCCAAAAGGGGGCAAAGCAACGGGCCTCCTTAAGGCCCAATAAACCGCCCTTCAAGGAAGAAAAACAAAACTGAAAAACTCTAACCACGCTTAGGGTAATTAATCAAAGCAATTCAAGGTACTTGATGTGTTTGAACAGATGGCCACTACAAAAGGAAGGAAAACAAAGACATAGGGAGAAAAGACATGAGCATGCAAGCACGAAAGTATTGCTGGCTGTAACTTCTAGTTCATATCAGTATTTTCTCAACACTTAAGTGGACATATAGGAATACCATTTATCGAGTGTCAGGCGGGTGGGGGGACATGGGCAATATACATAACCTTAACATTTGTACCCCCATAATATGCTGAAATAAAAAAAAATAATAAGACACTAGTTTGAAAGAGTGGAGGGTCTGCCCAAGGTGGTAGTGAAGAATAATTTTGGAGATCTAAGATTCTGGGGGGACATCTGATCCCTCCCCAAGTGTGAGCTCATATGACCATTATTTGCACATCCAGACATTTTAGAGATTAAAATACTTTTTAAAACTTCTGTTTAGCTTCTCTTCCTTTGAAGAGTTGCGCATCTCTGCGCAGTCACACTCGCAGTGGCAGTCACTCTCCCTCCCCTGGGAAACTGACAAGAGAATAAATCGCTGATGGCTCGACCTGGAAGTAAAAGTCCTCAAGTTTCACCCTGAGTCTTGACCATTTTCTGAGGTTTGGTTTGCAGCAATTTCTTTTATTCTATCAACTACTGAGGATACCCCCAACAAGTCCTTCTTGCATGAGTAAGAGTTAATTTTGATGTTTACAGCCAAAGAACTCTAACTATTACAGATTTGAATGCTTCTTCACACCCGTGACACGTACCCTAGGGGGGTGCCACAGCAGAAGAGATACACTGTGGCCACCAGAGTTGCCAAAAGGGCTCACCACAGATGGATGAAGGGACTCTTGGTGGAGCCCTCTGAGATGTCACTGTGCTACTGGAATCGATGCTAGCCTAGGAGGAGACCATAGCTGTCATCATAGTGCTTTGTCCCAAGGGTTCCATCTTTCTATTTGTACTGCCACGACCTAGTACCTGAGCTATTATTACAACTTCTGGCTGGTCTCTCTGGCCCTCTGGCCATCTCCTGCCTCCCCTCCCCCGACATCTGGCCCCTCTAATAGATCCATAATGTTGGGAGTTGGTAACACTCCCTTCTCCATTAATATCCCCATGCTAGAGACACAACACACAGTGGGAGGCCAGTTTGGACACAGAGCATCGCTCACTAATTAATTGTAGAACCAATGAATCAAGGAGCTGTTTCTTTAGCTCCCCTCTGTAAGGCAATAATACTTTATTTCAGGCAAGCTAGCCCTCAAGTCTTTGGTCATAAATCATAAATACCCTTGCTGTGGGGCCAGGAGGCTCTCTCAGGAAAAAAGAACTCAGATGAAGCTTTCCAAGTTTTGTTTTGTGTTTATGATTTTTTGCCCTAGCAGATTATATTTTATGGACATATCCAGGGCATATGATAGTCATTTTTTCATAACTAAAAAAAAAATTAAATATTATAAATTATTTTCCTATTATATACTTATATCAAAAAAGAGAGATAGCATAAAACTCTGCTTTAAATTTCAAAGAGACTTAAACTGTTTTTCTAAAGTGAAGAAACAAGTTGGTCAGAACAGTTAAAAGATTTTGTTTATATTAATAAAAAAGACCTAATTATAAAATACATGGCTTTTTTGTTTGTTTTTTTTTACTTTTTAGTGCATGGTATTTCAAACTTAATATCTACATAGTCTTTCTTTTCTTTTCTTTCTTTCTTTTTTTTTTTTTTTTGAGCTTAGGAAATTCTGTATTTTAAACAAGTTCTCTTACATTAGGATTTTTCAGTATCTTTATGTCCATTGTGAAACACATGTTTCTAAAATTTATTTGACTATGGAACAACCTACCTCCACCATGCCCCCTGCCAACCTCCCACCCGGCACAAGGACTGTCTACTAAGCAGCTAATGCTGCGGCTCTCAGCCTGGGCTGCCCATGAGAGTCATCCAACTTAGGTGGTCTAGGGTGGGGGGTGGGTTTTGGATAATAGAATATTTTAAAGCTTCCTGGGTGATTTTATTGGGCACAGCAGAGTTTAGGACTATAGATATAGTGGAATATTCTTTGGAATACACTGTGGGAAATTTAGTCCTAACGAGTTCCCTGACGCCCAGCTTTTTTTTAATTTCAGAATATTTTGGCAGTACAAACATTTGGGTTACATAAATTGCTTTTGTGCCATTCGTACCATTTTGTACCATTTTTGTCAAAGTTATAAGTGTTCCAATCCCCTAGATAGTGTGCATTGTACCTGTTAGGTGTAAATTTACCCATCCCCAACTTTCTCCTCCAACCTGTTTGATTTCCGATGAATGTTATTTCCATACGTGTACATAAGTGTTGATCAATTAATTCCAGTTTAATGGTGAGTACGTGTGGTGTTTGTTTTTCCATTCTTGTGATACTTCGCTTAGAAGAATGGTCTCCAGTTCCATCCAGGTTAATACAAGAAATATTAGTTCACTGTTTACCCAAGTGCTCATCTATACATGAGTGAATTAATAATAAAATGTGGTATATGTATACCAGGGAGTACTGCATATTATTTTCAAGCACAAATTATATTGCAAATTTTTGTATGATAATAACTATCATTTAAAAATATGTTTAGGTCCTAGAAAAACATCCTGCTTTCTTAAAAATATTAAATATATTCCTATATTTACTTACCCTATACAACTATTTTCAAATATGTTTTCCCACCTAATACAAAAAAACAATTCCAACTTACTTTCTGTCATGTTGTCAGAAATTTAAAATTATAGGAATTGGGACTAATTCGGTTTACCAAATATGTACATTGCCAAGGAAACCTCGTATTATTTGAGTTGCAGTAAGAGCTGAAAGCTACTAACCTGAGTCATCTTGTGATTACAGGAAAATTACCTCTTGTCTTTGTGAATCATGGCAGTCTCCACCCCCAGAGAGTGACAGTTGTTTCTCATAACTTTCTCAATGTGTAATGTAAATGAAAACTTGGAAGAGTGAAATCAAATATCTAGGTCCTTCACAGAGTAAGACACTTGTGTGAGTCTCTGAAGAGAGCACACAGGCCCTATTAGAAAAAAGACAAATACTAAATGTCATTTTATATAATAAAAATATTGAACCAGCTACAGCCTAAGTTGACCTCTTGTCCTGTGCATAAATTACCCAGAGAGGTAAGGATTCCAAAGAACTGTTAAAATGTGGAGTGTGCCAGGATTATAAGAGTGGTTTATAAATCAATTCCTAAGCTTTCTGTAAAACATACAGTACTTTCTCTCAAAATTAAATTGATTAATTTCATCTTATTCCTGGGAAAACTATAAACATTGAGAGTCCACTCAGAATCCAGGGGCTTAATTAAATGTGTACTAACTATTTAAGACAATATTACTAAATTGTATCAAATCATTCTGGTACAATTGGACTCCTCAATGTTTGCTCATGTTATCAGCTACTGCCATGTCACTCTGGCAAGTGCTCCTACTTATTCTTCATTGTTCACATTTATTTTTCTTCTTTTCCATAATAGAATTTGTCATGAAACCCATCAAAATGCTCTTAGTTACTAAAAAAATTAAATTAAATTAAATTATAAAAAATAAAATAAAATAAAATAATGCACTTTGCATACCAAAAAGCACTTTGCAATACAGAGGTCTTGGGGTATAGAATGAAATTCTGAGAGATGCCTGGTATGATAGGAAAAGCCCATCCTATAATACCTCAGGCCCTAATTGCTTCTTTGTAAATGGGGTGACTGGAGCTTAATCTAAGTCACAGCTTGCAATGATTTTCCCTAGTCTCTGTGTCTTTTGTGTATTCACCACCCTGCCACAAACTGTAGCTCTTATTACATCCAGTGGTTCTCAGAATGGCAGGGTGAGGTGCATATGGCTTCCCCCAACATGTCCCCTACTCCCCACCCCCACCCCAGTCTTGGTCCCTATTTAAGGGTCACTGATCTGGGTTTGCTTTGGTCTTCAGAATTTACATCTACATTTTAACCCCGGTCATCTCTTGGTCATATGTAGGTATATCATCTATGCCATTGACAGCCATTGACAGCCACAGAAGTTGACTTTTTAGGAAGCACATCTAAGAAGGATTTTGAATGAACTACCAGTCAAAGCACTTCATCTTTCCTCAAGCAGTGTTAGAGCCTGCGTAATTATAAAGGAGATGACGTTTGTTGACTCATTCCCCACACCAGGCCCAGACTTTCCACTTGGTTTTGCCCTCCCAGGGCCTGTCCTGGTCAGTCATTGCCACCAGCCGACTGGACTGTCTGTGCACCCTTCCTTCAGGCATTAGTGCCCAAATATGTCAGCCCTGTCACATAAGGTACTGAAGACAAAGTCTTCAACACCTTAGGAAGAGTAGCCAATGAAAACAAGAATTGTCGATAGTGTAGAAGACACATATGAGCTACTTGAGCAGGAGGCTTCTCTGTATCTAAATCACACTCCCAAAACACCTACACATATCACTGATTTCCCTTAATTTTCCTAAATTACGATCCAAATTTGCTTCTGTCTTAAGATGTATGAATCACATCATCTTCTCTAGGAAATTGCGGACAAAGCTAGGATAGGGTAGTAGCTATCTAAAAAGAGTTGAATTTTGATTGAATCCTTTTACTAGGTCAGCCATAGTTAGTGTTGAAAGAAATGCATTTCTTCTCTTCTCTTTGAATAAATGGGAAGTCATCTTCCAGGGCAAAAGTTTGTATTTCAAACCTTCTCAAATGAGCTGTGTGTATTTTCCTGTGAAGAGAGAGGATCAGAACCTCAAACCACAGCTCCGGGGCAAAATCAGGTTTTTGAAAAAAATGATTTTTTATGTTCAATTAAAAATACACACTCATCCATTCAATAAATATTCATTGGACCTCTGTTATATGTAAGGCACTAGGAATAGAGATAAAACAGCCCACTACCCCAATTCAGGAGCCAAGAATTTAATACAGGAAACATACAAAGAAGCCTAAAATGAAAATGTAGTAGAACTTTGACTTTGGGGATGGATAAATCCTGATAACAGGTGACTCCCCAAACTCATGCCTTGCCTGGGTAAACAGGGGTGTGGTTCACCATCAGAGGAGGTGTAGGTTTGAAGACTGGCCATATTGTTTCTATGCTATTTTAAGGACAACAAACTTAGATGGATATGAAGCTCAGAAGTCAGGCTGGATTAGACGTCATTTAAAAATGGTCATTAACCCAAGACATGGCCCAGTAGGGCCAAGAGAGAATATTAAATCAAAGAAGATTGTGCAGAATAAGAAAAGGAATGTGGTTAGAACATGAAGAATCACCAACATTAAACTTCCATGCATGTTAGTATTAGAGGACAGCTAGCCATGCACCACAGAGCTCTCCTATAATTAAATTTAATTCAAGAAATACTGACTAAACACCTACTAGGCAACAGTTGCTTTGGTAGCTAGGAGAACAAAAGATAATGTGGTCCCTACTGTCTAAAAGCTACAGACTAATATTAATACAGGAGTAACACAAAGTAACAGCTGAATGACAATAGTAGGGAACAAGTATGTGATTGTTGCATAGAAAAGCATAGAGAACAAGCAATATTCGCTTTTCTAGCTCAGGGTGAAATACTTTGACTCTGAGTATTATTCCCTTTAAATAATGAAACAAGTAAAACAGCCTCATTAATAGTCTCTCTTCTACACAGAACTTCTTAATAATATCCCAGAGAGATTACAGTGGAAATGCTATGGATAGTAGCAACTGACATTTTTAATTGAAATCCTATGTGCAGAACAAACTCAGAGCTTCAAAACAACAAATTATGTAGCACTAGGAGTATATGATCCACTCCATAATCCCACCAGGGACTATAAAGTTACCCTGAGTAAACATGTTGAAAGAAAGTGAACAATATGAGGGGAGTTTATCTTATTGGAAAGAGATCAGATATTCCCCAAGAATACTTTGTTTTTCTTGAAAAATCTCAAGGATTACCAGTCTAAATTGACTTCATTAAGAGTAGGATATTAGCTCTAAAATCCAAATAAAGGAAAGGAATGTGATAACATCTGAGTGGAGAACGTGAGTGCATGGAGGGGGTGGTTACAAGATGACAACGCCAATATTAGGAAACTAGAGCTTGTAGCACAATATTGATCATGAGACCCGTTACCAAAGGTCGTTCCTCTACAGGCAATGACAATACGAGGCCATATTCACTGTAACTGTATTACAATTCATTTTGATTTTGTAGATTAGAGAATGTCAGCAAAGAAGAAGAAAATCAAACAGGAGGTTTAAGAAAAATGAAAATATAGCACCTGCTCCCCCAGGCATTCGCTGCTGGTGTCAGTTTGACAAAACCAGTTATCGGTCTGTGTTGACATAAAAGCAATAGGATCCCTGGAAGAGCAGCTTGAAAGAAGATTGTTCTGATATTACGTATGAACAGCAATAACAGAGAAAAGTGGAACATTTATTATTTACCTTCTTTTCTTCAGAAAGAAGGTTTAGGGAGGATAGTGGACAAAGAATGCCCCAGTTACTTTACTGAAAAAAAGATTGTTCAGGAAAAGAGCTTTTAAATAAGAGTCAACTGTAAAGCTATATATCATCTAACAATTTTCTAAGAATGGAATTAAGAGGGAAATGTGAGGATGAATTAATTACACATTAGTGTATTTTATAAAATATATTCATAACACAATTAATTCTAAAACAGGCACCCATGGGGCTATTGTAGGTTGAGTATCTGTTACCCAAAATGCTTGGGACGAGAAGTATTTCAGATTTTGGGTTTGGGAATATTTGCATATTCATAATGAGATATTAAAATCTCCGGAAGAGGCTCCAAGTCAAAACACGAAATACATGTATGTTTCATATACACCTCATACATGTAGCTTGAGGGTAATTTTACACAACGTTTTTAACGATTTTGTGCACGAAACAAAGCGTGTGTACACTAAACCACCAGAAAGCAAATGTGTCACTATCTCAGCCACCCATGTGGACAGTCTGTGGTAGTGTGGCCAGCACTGTCATTCCTGATTCTGAATTTATATGCTACCAATAAGCAGTCATTTTCTTACACTTATTCACATGTGAATAAGTGTAAGAAATGTGACATTAATGGAACCCCCACATCGCTGTAAAACAACAGCGACGGCAAACAACGCTGCCTTCCAGCATCCGCCTGTGAAGATGTGTTTTGATTAAAAGGTCACTGTGCACTGCATTTTTAGAAGCAATATATAACACATATTTTACAGTCATAGAGAAACAAAAAAGAACGGCGATATAAAAAAAGTTATAGAAAAAACACCAAAATGGGAAGGTAATTAAAAGCCAATTATCAAAGAAATATACCAAAAAGGCTGTTAGTAATAACAATCGACCACATCATCGCTCTAGTCCTCAATGAGCGCGCGACATTTGCACCTA